ATGAGCTTATGTATGTGTTCGTATACACTTCTTATCCTATTCATCACATATCTGTAACCTATTTTTTTATCTGGCTATAAATATTGATTAACACTTGATTCAATGAAGTTGACTCACAAGACATCTCCACTGTGCGTCATTTCGCTTCGCTCTCTTCTAATTCGCTTCATCCCTCTTATTTCCTGTCCAGATCAGTAGTGAGTGTACAAAATATATGTATTCGTAATCCTTATTTGACTTACTTTAATTCTGTTATATTTAGTAATGCGAAGTAAGTCTATAATGCCCTGGTACGACCGAAGGTAGGGAGAATCAGCTCTCCCTCTCTAAATGTTTACACATGGCCACGCGTATACAACAACTGACAGCGAAGTCCTAATCACTGCCTTCTCGCGGTTCTTTAAGAAATCGAGACGATGAAAAGCGAATGTCAGGCGCTCTAACTGGGTATGTAGATAATGAGGATCTACCTAGAGGAATTGAAAAACCCTCATTCCAAACCAATGGTGCACATGAGCTCCAGCATACTGAAGGAAAAAATGACGTATGAACCAATTATTAGTCAGTGGCTATCAACTCCTTTAGGTGGGTCATCCGTATCCAAAACCCCAGTTAGAGTGTTGGATATTCGCTTTTCGTCCTCTCAATTTAGCAAACAACAGCGATGCCACGAGAAGGTAGTGAGTAGAACTTTGCTGGCAGTGCCTGTTTACGTGTGTCTATGTGAGAGCATTTAGAGAGGAAGAGCTGATTCCCCCCACCCTCGGCCGTACCAGGGTATTTGGAGGAATGAGAGGAAAAATCACATCAATTTTGATGTGAGCCAAAATATAGAGGAATATCATTCAAATACAACAAAAATGAAAAAAAGTGATTGTGAGACAGAAGTCAAATGTAGTGATCACTGATTTATATACAGAAATAAGAGACAATCAATTATTTATTTACAGAGTTAATCTGTTCATGTTCCGAAATTTTCATTCAAATCTATGTATTCACTGTCTGCTCTCTACGGGGGTGTTTTTAGGAAATTGAGAGGACGAAAAGCGTATGTCCGGGTTGGTGGATATAGAGAATCCACCTAGGAGAGTTGGAAAACCCTGATTCCAAACCAGTGATACACATGGACTACAGGATCCTGAAGGAGCAAACGGCGTATGAATCTATTGTTGGTCACTGACTAATATGGGACTACATCTCCTCCCGTTGCTCCACTACCTTGTGGATCAGGTGTGACCCCCTGAGAAAACCACCTCCTTCAGTCTGCGCACCCGGACAATATCACAGACAAAGTGAATTGTGTTGCGCATATCTATTCGGTGCCACTTTGTACCAATATTTGTGTTCAAATAAATATATATATATATATATTTCGACAGGAACCACTCATACGATCTCATTGAAGACAGATATCGGGATGTTAAAGAAAGAAATTATTTCGGTTCTTCTAACATAAGAAAACAAACGTAAACAAGATCATAAAACATCATAGATTCTTCTAAAATCATATATATTTATATAGAATATATATATATCATAGCATTTATAATGATATAATACTTCAATTATTAAAGTATGGAATATTGGACAGATGATACTTGAATCCTTCCATTATATTCTTCATCTACACATAGGAAAATTATAAAACAGTAAAAATATATATCATACTGAAAAATTACAAGTATATGATTAACCAAGCTAAATATAATATGAATAATATTTTCTTATAAAAGTTATAAGGTAGTGAAGAAGAACACAAATGAGGACTAATCGAATATGACTATCAAGACTCAGTAGCTAAGTGGATAATGCCATGGCAACTAATCAAATGTATTTAAACACAAATGACGACTAATCGAATGTGACTATCAAGACTCAGTAGCTAAGTGGATAATGCCATGGCAACTAATCAAATGTATTTAAACACAAATGACGACTAATCGAATGTGACTATCAAGACTCAGTAGCTAAGTGGATAATGCCATGGCAACTAATCAAATGTATTTAAACACAAAATTACAAAACCATACAGTAAATACTTCATTTACAAAATGTTAATCAGTTGTCTCCTACTTGACTGTTCCTTTTGTAAATATCATTTGGTCGTCTCATACTTCATTGTTCCTGCAATTCCATACTAATTGCTTTCTATTTCCGTTATTTCCTTCTCGATATTCATGACCTTCGGTTGTGAAACATTCTATTCCTGACTAGCGTTATATACTACTTATGTCGATATAAGTAACACACACCGCAATAGTACAAAATTAACTCATATTAATCTATTCCATGTAATGATATGAAATTTAATAGGGTGTATAACAAATCATGATACAATGTAAAACATGTAAAACAGGATCCTAACTACTAATTACTTATATCAATCAGTCGGTTACAATGTAGGACCAGGCATATACATGCATCGGTCCAAGTTTCCACACCTCATTAGCACAACAAGACGAATACCGGATTCATAGAAGTAGTTAACTCAATGGTGTAATATATAAAGGAAAAGTTTTATGTAAGGATAAAGTACAGAAAGAAAGAATTAGTTCGTAGAAAGAAAGATAAAAAGCAAATTTGATATCTCATAGTTTAAGGGAAGACAAAGAGTGTATACACCTACGCCACTGTGATCGATTTCGAGCCATGTCACCCAGAGTCTTCAACCGTTGGTTACGATAGTCACGCGGACCCCAACCAAGTAGTCTAAATCTATCAACATGGCTCAGACTAAACGTTAGTGCCTTCATCAAGCACCGATGCCACATTTTGGTTTGACCATCCCTAACTTTCTTCTAACCATTCCCAACACTAATCAGCATTGCGCGTCGTGGCAATCGGTGTTTAGGTATACGTAACACGTGGTGGTTTGAATTGTCAAGTTGGTAATATATTCTAAACTTGAAGCCCATTTGAAGCAATGAAAGTTTATAAACCATAAATGTATCATTTACTGGTACAAGATTAAAAATCACAATTCTTAAAAATCATTAAAAACATCAATTTTGATCTCTCACTGACATTAAACACGACATAGACCATTGTAAGAAAAACATTTTTTAACCATTTGTCTTTAACTTGAACATGTAAACAATGAATTGTCAAACCCCTGCCTAGTTCCCAAGCATTTTCTGCTCATGAACACTTGACAGAAAATAAAAGAATTTAACAGTTTACATACGCATTCACTTGGTATTGTTTGGCTTCTATTTTCCTATTGAGGTTTAAGACTGCAATTGATCAGTCTGTTATTGGCATATGTGCATACTGTGCGTATTACCTTGATATTGCCTTAATTCACAAGCTCTTTGTAAGCAATGATGGATAGTGGCTAGCAGTGGTGTGAACATCAACTCTCTGAGATGCAGATACATCCAGCTGACGAGTTCCAAATAGGACGAAACGCGCGTCTTGGATTCCACTGCTAGCCACTATTCATCATAGTTTACATACGCTTTCAAAATTCTAAACTCCTCAGTAGAATATGCTAAGAGTGACAATGAAATCAGTAATTACCCAGTTAAGATAAAGAAAACCTGATTAACATTTTTATAAATTTCTTTTAAAATCTACTAAAGAATTCTGGCTTGTCGAAGTATTTCCAACATTTTCCTAGTACCTGAAAACATTTTTCAGAGTAGTATCGATGGTTATGATGAAGAAGCAGATTTAAGACACAATCGATTTCTCTCATAATTTCATATATTAATTTATATCTTGATATGATTAACAGATTAACAAATAGGTGCCTGACTACACATCAAGAAGAGGGACGAAGGTGAAGTCAAAATAAAATTCAAAAAATGCAACATGTAATGGATAAACAACAAAAAACTTGACAATATGAAGAGTAGCCAATTTTATATCGAATAAACTGACTTAAATCTAATAACACTTTAAGTAAAAATGTTAGTTGAATTTTGTAGTGCAACTAATCAGTAAGCTTACAATCCTTCACATCAACTTCCAGAACGATAACTAAGTACTGGATTTTTATTGAAAAAACCATTTTAGTCAGTCACTAAATTGTGAATAATGTAGAATATGGTATCTGGCTTATTTCAGTTAATGTTAAGTCATTTCATTCAAGTTTTTTTTTCCTAAAACGAAAAGTTCTATCAATTCGAATGAATATGCTGTTATTCTGAAATTTCATTGACATTAACTCAAGAATCATAGTATGTAAAGTATTAGTTTCTTTAAGACTTTTCGTGATACCTTGGCACTTTTCCACTAATTTTTTTTAAATTTTAGTTTATTTATCAATCTTAATTAGTTATGATCTTATCTGTATGTCACCTACGTTAATCCTAATAACTAACTTTCAGATAGATTCTTCAAGTACTTAAAAGAAATCACGATCAATGGAATTGTATCATATTGGAAATGAGAAGTTATGTAATAATATTAACAATTTTTTGTATACTGGCTAAAATTAAAGGTGTCAGACATTGGATTATCTTGACAAAACAATCCATAAGTTTTGAGTCCAATCATAAAGTAAAGTTATGAATAGGTATTACTAAGCAGTCTCAAAAAAAAGTAAAGTAAAACCACTGACCATTCTTGTATAATATTGAGAACCATTTTCATCTCATTTCAGTATTAAACATAACTTTGAATTTGCAGGTATGAAAAAATAAACTTAAATTTAATATCAGATATGAGTTTTTGTGGATATTATAGTAAATTCAATAGTTTATATCATGAGTCGATTGAAGCTAGACCACCATGGAAAACCTGGAAGTACTGCACAGCCGGTTCATGCTATTGTGAGACTCCTCAGCATTGCGCATCTACGATCCCGCCTTCTGCGAAATTTGAACCCGGGATTCATCGTACTCACGCGCGAACGCTTAACCTATACACCACTGGGCTGGTCGGCATCCAACGGTGTTAATGTCTAACATCAACTAATCTACGAAATTGAACAACACATCTACCATTGTCTTCAGTGAGTTACTACCTCACAACAGACAGCATATGCTCACTAGTGACTGACTTTAAGATATTTTTCCTGTACCTTTAGTTAAAAACAGTGACCAGTGGAGTGAAACGGAATCCAGTGCTTCCACATTTTCCATAGTGGTCTAGCTTCAATCCACTAGTGATTTCAATTATTAAATCAAATTTCATACATTAATAAACTTTCATTCTTACCTTTATCAAACTCTTTCTATCAATGTGAGTACCTTTTATCCATTTATCTTCGAAATCTCAACTGATACAATATTGGATCACTATGAATGATAACATAATGAATTATTTCATTTAAAAAAATCAGCGAGACTATAATTTATGGACGAACCAATCAGATATAAGATAACAGGTCTCGGATTTTAGTGCGAAATTCGCTCATCTATTTGCCTAAATAGAGTTTTGGCATTATAACTAATATCAGCTCGTAAGGAAAACTCAAAATCTAATTTCTAATCTTAACCATCAAATGTAAATCATAATTCTAATCCCTCATACAGGTTTATAGCCCTCATTCGGTCCTAGTTATTAGGTGGGCACTCTCAGGGTCAGTTTAGCGTTGCTCAACGGTCGTCTATAAAATATAGTCTCACTAAACAACAAATTAAAACTTACATAGTTTTATAAAGTTCACGATTTTTCTGTATTAATTTATAATTTGGATTCATTTTAAAACCTTTAGTTTGTGGATAACCACGTTGTCCTGGTGATAATAATGTAAAAAATGTTGTTGGTACAAGGATACGTTTCATTTGATCACAGTAGAGATTATAATCATTTAATGTAATTCTAGAAACTATTCATAATTTTTTTAGTAATTAGAGGTGTAAAGAATAATACTAATCTCACTGCTTACTATGTGAATCTAATTCAATGCCAACAAGAATAACACTGACATTACTTTTAAAATGAATAGGACCAATAAATTTCACAATTCCTTCGTAACGATTCCATAATTTAACTTTATCATCCAATTTACACTTAACATGAGTATATTGTTTATTTTCTAGTTTATTATTAAAGCACTGGCAAATATCACAAACGCAATTTGATAATGTTAACTTGGAGTTATTTTCAGTATTCATTGACAGATTTCAAACATTACATAACTATTGTTTGCTTTTTTTACAAATCTATAAAAATCGTAGAAAACACAAAAGTAAGCATTGCGATCTGCTATGTAAATTGGATACTAATAGTAGAAATATTGTGTAACATTTTGTCTAAGAAATTTATCACAATAATTTTAATAGTTGAGATCATGAGTCAATTGAAGCTGGACAACCATTTTCTTGAGTTCCAGAACAGTAGAATTGAAGTCAACCATATCAACTAACCTCTGATTTTTCAATAAATCATCAACTAACAGAACTAGTCGTTAAGACCATCGGCTACAGCTGCTTTGTCGAATGCTAGCAGAAAATAGTTGGGTCGAATGGAAGACCTCCAACATGATGACGAACACACCCATCTAGCCTTCCCTCCTCAAACTAAAAGTACTTCAGTGAAAATAGGTAATGCCGAAATAAAAACATTTTTTAGACAAAAGCACATGGCGAACGATAAAAATGTCTGATAGCATGTGAAAGTGTGCTGGTATAATGGATTGTACCTCATCAAGTCCATATCACATACAATAATATCCAACTTTTGAGAGATGAACGAATAGAGACTATTTGGTTCAAAAAGATGCAGATATTGAGCATTTCCTCGTGAAAGCTAACTGATATAAATGTTGTTAACTGGGTAAATGTAAAATTTTTATTTAGTGCTTAACTGCCAATAAACCCAAATGATACCATTGAGCCATTCAAAAGTTGTTTCCTGAGTCAATTAAATATCAGGCCAAAATTTTCGAATCCTATGGTAGATCAACAGAAAAGTAGTAAGACATAGTATTAAAACCCGACAAGCGAGTTTTAGTTGACCTATCGCCTTGTATTTTGATGTAGTCCAAGCAGTATGGTGCCAAAATGTGTTGTCAGAGGTACTCTTATGATCCTAAGAAATTTCGAACAGATAGGTAATAATATCAATTCGCAGTCTACTGCAAGCTGATTACAATCAACAGGCAAGCTGTAATATTTTCAAACAATTGCATGTTCAGTGGTCAGTTTACCACACATGTGAACCGTAATCCAAGCACGCATATTAAGATGGCAAAAGCTCTGGAAGTGATTGTTAAACGACCGTGTCAATAAAACGTGTAGCATTTTGCTTCTATGTAGAAAGTAATCTGTGTTTTAGAGGAGGATTCAAAGTATGGTGAGTTGGAGGTGCTGGAAAAAAGAACAAAAACAGGTACGTCAAGGAACCAGGATGTGCATACACTTTGCTTACACATACTGAGGAAAAAAATGGACAATGAGCGATAAAGCAAGCCTCAAATTAGGAAAATCTTGAAATCGAAATTAGGAACAGATAGTTTGACTTGTAACAAACACGCTTATTTGAAGTGGGCGCTGTCTCTGTAGATCATAACGACGACAAAAACTATGAGGTCAAACTATCCAATGGACGGTATATCCAAAGCACAATATCTATGTCGCAAGCTTATACATGCCAACAGATTTCTTTGAGCCCTTCTATTGTTGTTTAAGTACGTTTTTATGTATTTGGTAATGTCCAATGTGTAAAAGTCCGACGGTAAGGTAGAAACGAACTTTGATTTAAGATTACCGATTAATTGAATGATTGATCAATTGAATCAGTACCCTTTAATAGAGAGGGTGCTGTTAGTTGGAACCTCATCAAGCAGAAAATTTATACTAATTTCGTAGAGACATTTACTCCAAAAGCATTTGCAGATAGATGATCGAGTTAAACACTATGGTTTCATATCTTCAGTTTTCAGTAATAAAGATAGTGGTTTGGTGAACCTGTGTTAATCCTGACAGTTTGCCTTCCAGTGAACGTCCAGCTTTTTGAAAGTAATCACTGATGGGGCTGATACCTCTTGTTCGGGTAACGCGTTCCATTCATTAACTACTCAATGACAAAAACGGGACTCCAATTTAAGTTTATTAGATCTCGGGTTCTGAACCTTCTTGTTGTGACCTCTGAGATTATTAGTGCTGGAGGGAACAAAAAAATAAGACATATTAACACCTTACTCATAAGTAAAGATACAAAATGCCAGTATGAGGTCACGTCGCGTCCTACGATAAGACAAGGCGTTTTAAGCGCTCATCTTTCCTACACTCTGAACATGCTCAGGTGAGTTAGTATTCTTAATCAGACATGAGCTAGCTGCTTGGATACAGTACTCTAAGTGTAGTCTTACGCACGTGTGACACAAAATTCGAAACATTTCCTCGTCAAAGCATTTGAATGCTCGGCAAACTTACCATAATGCGCGGAAACCTTATGCACCAGCTGCGTTGCAAATCGTAGTTGTTTTCGAGTCATGACTTATTATTACTCCCATTTTTTTACGTTCTTGAACGCGTTGAAGATATGTGCCACCAATTGTATAATGGTAACTATCAATGTGTCCAATTCGCATGAGCACAGTCTTCCTAGAAATAACTTCCAGGCCCCAACCTTGAGCCCATCTAACCAATTCGTCAAAGTCAACTTGGAGATCAAAATGATCAACCTCGATTCTTATTGTTCTCCAGATTTTGACATCATAATGTTGACGGCTTAAGCAATAGCATTGATTCATTAACGTAGAGAAGGAAAAGAAGAGGGTCTAAAATGGTGTCCTAGAGTACACCACTTTTGACCGAATTCCATTCGGATGGCCTCCAATTGACCCTCACTCTCTGTCCGTGGTCAGATAAGAAGTTTCCTATCCATCCCTGTACGCCACCTGCCACTCCGAATCTCGAGAGCTTTTGCATAAGACCTGAGTGTAAAATCTTGTCAAATGCTTTGCTAAAATCTATGAATATCACGTCGACAGACAGACAGTTATCCAACGTTTCTGTCCAATCCTTTCTCATAATAATTAAGTTAGCCGAACATTAACGCTCGTTTCGAAACCCATGTTGCTTGGGAGTAAAAACATTGTGAGAATCTGTGTGACTATTTTTTCAGGTAAATTAACGACTATGCTGGTTAGAATGACTGACCGGTAGTTTCTGATCATCCTTATATATAGGACTGTAGTGTCTTTCGAATCTCTAGGAAGTTGAGCGAGTTGATGTGTCATGCTGGAGAGCGTCGCGAGCAGTCTTGAAAGAAGGTTTGCAAGAGATTACTGCAGTCATGGATGCAAACCGTTAGGGACTGCTGCCTTACAATGGAAGAATAGTTTCCTCGGTCACATGTACAGATCCTGTGCTTGGTATCTTGGTGTGATTGGGACAAGTATTTGTAGATTTCGCCAAAATATTTTCAAAGAGTCTCAGCTTTTCCTCGATCTGACTCAGATAGTAAATCTGAGTTTTTGTATAACAGTAACAGGAGAATACCAGCACTACGTTTTGTTCACCGTTTAACATACGGAATCAATCGTTTAGGACAACTACGGCTATTATATACCTGCTATTGTTCGTAAATAGCAAGGGATTTAGCTATGATCCTTTTACTTATATTCCGCATCTCTGTATTCACACTTAAGTGATTCGTGTCCTGTCAACAAGAAGTGTTGCATACTCTTCAACAGCTCCAGGGTTTTCCTAATAACCCATAGAGGGCAATATATTAGATAACATGTTGACCATGGGATAAACGGTGGTGTTGCGAACTTGAATGTGGACCTAAACTTACACCATTCATCTACGATCGATTAATCCGCATCGACCGACCAGTCAGCCATTGCGTTTCAATGCCAGCGTCAGTTAGACATATCATCATTAAACCGAACTTGTCAGTAGGTAACTTAAAAGCTCCCATACCACTAACACCTATGTATTTCGTGTAGTTAGAAAGTGTTCCATAGTGCACGTAAATTCGTGACGACCAAATTAAATTTTACGAAAAGATCAGGTCACCTTACGGGATACATAGTGCATTTCTCGGCTTATCAACTCTATCCAACCTAGCCACTTTAACAACAAGAATTTCTGAAAATAAATTAACTTATTTTTCATCTCAAAAATATTCTCTGTGTTTTCCCCGACATTGTCGCTAAGTCACTGCCATAGTACAATAGGTTGTGAGTATCCACACCCAAATGCACATTTTTTATAAGCTAGTGCAAACAGGATTGTTTCTTTGCACTGACGCCTCGATGGTAGGGTACGTCTCAGGCTTCTTGGATTTCGTTCGCCGATTGCGACGTTTAAAACCAAACTTTATATGTTATTATATAAATTTCAATTAATTGCTATCTGTAAACGAAACATTTTTATGGCACTAACGACGTACTTGGAAATAATAAGAACCATCTCATAATAACACATCCTAATACGTTTTAAGACTGCCGGTGCCACATTATCAAGTGGTCAGTCTGTTGATTGTGGGGCGAAAATTGCAAATTAGAATCCATAGAAGGAAAGAGAACAAATGTTGAAACAAACAATTTGATTGAAAAAATAAATAAATGAAAATATCAGAACACGAAATAAATAGATCTCACGAGAGGAAAAAACTTCACTTACGTAAAACAAGAGACAAACTCAACTGAGAAATTCAATATTAACAGTGCCTTAGTTGTAGGAAAGTGCGTAAAAGATGTCACAGAAACTCAGTTCTTAACAACTCTGTTGTTCATTACGCCTATTGAGGTCAATACCATTATCGAAGGCTTACTAAACCCCTTATTTCAAGGGTTAATTTACCTCTACAGCTCAGTTAGTTGTAATCTATCAACAGATAAACGATGTCAAATAGGTAATTCTTTTTCATATTAGAGGCATTTTGAGAAGTCCTAAAGCTGTATTTTGTCTACTTAATCCCACCCTAAATATATTTGACTTGGGAACTTTCGAATGCAATCATCAGTGAATCATTTGGTTTGAGATATAATTGATTTATCCATCGCCTTGACTATCCGATAAAGTGTCAAGCGCAGATAAAATAACTTAGTTCCCAATAACTTTAAAACAAGATGGTCATAAATGATCTCTCCTTGCGATTATGTCGACTACTAGGCATACATATAATTTTTGCGTTTTAAGTGAGAAATCTGGACTGTAGTTGGAAAAACGTCTCCCAAGACCTACAGAAACTTAGTTAAAATGACCAAAATATAAGACGTATTTCATTGATTAGAACAAAGTTGTTGTTAACCGTTCTTCTTTCAGGTTGGTTTAAGCATTATACGCCGTATTTGAAGGCTTGTAGAATTAGGGTCTAGTTCATTATAAGTTCTGTTGTAACAATATATATAATTTCGAGATTATGGATTTGTCATGATATGACTGCCTAACCTATAAGATCTTTCGTGAAAGTTACATCATCGTGAACACTGACTCGTTGTATCGTGACAACAGTTTAATGCTTAGCACTTAGGAGGAACATATTTTGGCTGACATGCAATAATATATTTAATGTGGAAATGTATGGGTTGCACAAGAATGACCACGCCCGCAAAGCTGAGCCATGCCATGCCAACAGAATGTTCCCGCTTCACCATTGTTGACCTTCTCTTTCTGTTGATTGTTGAATATAAAAATTTCCAGCAATTATATGCTAAGCTAAAAGGTTGTATAGTTAGGAACTAATGTCACCACGAGCTCATTTGTTGGAATGTATTTGAACACAATCTTATGAACTTGAAAAAATCCACGGGCCGGTTATAGAGATAAGCCGCGTATAAAACAATTACAACGCATATACCGAATTGACCCACAGTGGCAAGGACCCTTCTTATCTGTGCAGAAAAGTTTTGTATAAGCCTGTCACAGTTTCGGATTCGGTTTGAAAAGGACAGGAGGCTAGGTAGCTTGTGTTAATGGTGGTCTTTCAGTTTATTTAACTTTCTTTTGAAAAGGACGACATATAGAACTTCAATCACATGTTGGGTTGGTGAATTCCATTAGTTCATGATTCTATGGGAAAGTTGATAATCATCTGACAAGTGATTGGTTCTTGGCTTTTGAACTGTTTTAGAATATCCTTTTAAATTCCCTCTTTTGGAAGACAAGAAAAATGAGGATATATCATATGCAAATTTATCACTTAGCAATTTGAAAACTGCAATCAATTCGCCTATGGTTCTTCTATAAGACTATGGAAATAGGTTAAGTTCAATCAGTTGAGCATGATATTGGGGCTTTGCTATTCAGAAAATCAGCCTGGCTGCGATTCATTGAACCTTTTTCAACAGCTCACTGTCTTGTTCTATGTATAGGGTGGCTGCTTGTATGCAGTGATCGACTTTACTGCATACAAAGTCTGAAAGTTTTTAGCATCAACATAGATAATAGCCCTAGGTATTAACCATATGGTGGATATAGCCTTTGGTGGATATCACATGACATGTTTAGTAGTTCTTAAGTCTTAGCTAACGATGATTATTAGGTCATTCTGTGTCTAGGCAACAGTGTTATTCATCATGTACATATCTGGACCTTAGTAACCAATATACACCTCAATGCACTTGGAATTATTTGCCGGCAACTTCCTAGTTTGAGACTATTCAGTTGATTTCTCCAGCCCAAAACTGTTA